AAATAAGTAAAAAGAAGCTGCTGAAAATGACGTTTCAAACAGCTTTAGTTCAGTTTTATGGGAAATAATAATGTCTTTAAAAAAATGACAAAGTGAGTTAAAGTTGGAAAAAATAAATCTGTTGTTGTTCTTATTTTTGGTTGCCAAACATTCTACTGTTTGGTTTTGGTTAGTCGAATTTGTGAATAGTATGCTTGATGATCGAAGAACAACTACTGTCTAGCAACAGTAACAACGACAGCGACCGCATTAGCAGCAGCATTAACAGCGCCTTTGTTGATGTTATATAGGCAGCAGAAAAGAGAATAATTTTTGACAGATAATAAAGTTAAATTATTATTTAAAAAAAAACATTTTGATTTTGAACAAGACTATTTTATTAAAAATAATGTCAGGCGTTTCTTTGTTTTAAAGTTTTTTCTCTTTCTCTGAAGGAAGAAAAAAATCATGAGCATTTTCTAAGGGTAACTACACATTATAATTTTGTTTTATTGGTTTCATCAATAAGTTTGAAATCAGAACTAAAAATTTTTTTTGGTTTTTCTACCGATATACTTTTTTGTGTTTTTTACTTCACACGGTTGTTGTTAGCTAATGATTCATAAGAAAGTTTAGCATTGATTAGAAGGGGAAAAAGAAAAAAGGAAAAACGAATTTTTTTAATGTTTATTTATTTCTTTTTTTTTTTTTCAAATTCATGGTGCTGTTGTTGTTTTTCGTTTTTGTGAACATAAAAGAACAAGGAGATTGATGATGACGTTGAGATTAGGGAGGCATTGGAGGCAGGGTTTGGTGCGTTGGAGGAAGAGGAAAGGGGAAGGGGATGGCGAGGGGAAAACAACAGAGGTTACAGTTCACCAAACATACATGCTAGGTGATCGGATGGAGTGGTGTCGAAGGCAAAAAAATGAAAGGAAAAATAAATAAAAAGAAGAGTGATAGCAATGAATGAATGGAAATTGTACAGGCGATGAAAGTTTTTAATCATTTACAATAGTTCTGAAAGATACCCCCTGAAAATGCAAATTTTGTTCAATCTATTGAACAGCTTGATTGTTAACGTTGCACAAAGTTTAATATCTTGCATTTTCTGGCTGCTAAAAACATCTCAGATATTTGAGTCTAAAAGAAAAAAAAGTGAAATTATTTTGTTACATATTGTTGAAAGATGGATGCATTGATGTTTATAACAGTATATGTTTTGTATTTATTTACATGCTTTTTTTTTTGAAATTTGCTAAACAGCCACAGAAAAGAGTGTTGAGCTTGCTATATTTTAGTAACAAAATGAGTGATGGTCATATATACCGTTATCGTTGCTCCCAGTGTTCATTGGCATTTGGTACCCAAGAACGTTTAGCGCAGCATACAATCTATCATGCCTTTAGAACAACTTATCGGTGTCCTCAGTGTTCCAGAAGCTTTACCTCGGCAGATGCTCTCCAGAAGCATACATCACAGGAGCACATTAATGGTAATTGAGGCATCTTTGTTGTTTGATTGTTTTTTTTTCATGGGGTTAACTTATTTTTTTATTGCAGTTAAATCTGATTACTGTTTAGCTGGTTGCAAATTGGGTTTTCAAAATCAGTAAAAATTTTTTAGACGAACTAGTGTTCTGATTAAAAGCAGAGAAGACTTATAATTTTGGAAAGCTTCTTAGTAGGGTTTTAGGAGCGTAAACGATTAAATTTTATAGTCTGATTAGAAATTAAAAGAACAAAAAAATGCACAAATTCGTAGTTTTTTTGGAAACTGAGTAGAAAATTTTGCCATGAAGGAATTTTTTTGGCCGAACCACTTGAGATTTACACTTGTTGTTTTTGTCGTGTAGTAAGTTATGATATGTTTTTATTGTTTTAAGTGAGTAATATCTTGTCTTTTTCCTTCGCAATTTTTTCTTTACTTTAAATACTTCATGATTATGTACAGAACGGAGTTACTGTTTTTTTGCTGCTTTTACTGTTGTTGTTGCTAATATACTTGTACTTTTTCGAAGCGAAATTAGTTTCAGTTGAAAACTTTCAATTCATGGTCTTTGATATTGTAACGGTGTTAGATTTTATTTACGTAATGAAATTAAACCAAGCTTAATGAGAAAGAAGTCAAGTTAGAGTAGGTAAGGAGATGTGGTCTTTTTACAATTTATTATTAGGCCGTGCAACGTCAGTTCAGTTTTTGTGAGCAGTTTTTGAATTTCAAAAAGGAACAACAGGAGGAGAAAGATTTGCCAAAGTTCTTTTGTAAACCACCTTAAGATAGAATGTAGGTTTTTTCGAAAAACCATAACACTTTTTTGAAACTTTTATTGATTTAATATTGGCTTATTGTTTTTTTGTGAGAGCTAACAAATTTATATGCAAATTAATGCACGAAATGCACTTAGCAAAATTTAGTACCAAAATGAATTAACAAAGGAAAATAAAAAAAAAATTTTTCTTCGCGCTTTAAGAGCTTTGCTTTGTTTAATTAAAATTTTTGGTTTGAAGGGAGAAAAAGGGCGTTTTTTTGCTGTGGTGAAGAGGAATGAAGGATAGTAAATTAATATTGCTGGGAATTTTTTCTGTTATCTGGTTCAACTAATTATTTTTCAGTTTACTGTTTTTGGAACCTTTACGTTTTTAAGTTACATTGCTTTGTGAACCATGCGCCGAAATTAATGTTTTGGTGATATATCCAGTGTTAGCATTTTCTTGAAAGAAACGAAATTCTACTTCTACTTATTCTGAGGCGCTTTTTTGGAGAAGGCATAAAAGAAGTTTAATGAATATGATAACAGTTTGGCAGTACTTTTTTTTTTGGAAAGTGTTTAGCTGGTGTAATGGAAGATATTGGTTTTATGATTAGTAGGTCTTTTTGGCGGAAAGTATGATCATTTTTTTCTTATCTTTCACTACATCTGGACATTACAATGAAGTTTTTGATATTCGAGTTGAAAAAAGGTTTTTACTATCAGATTGATGTTTTTAGCAATTTATTGAAGTTGGCTTTTTATCCTCCAGAATTCTCTTGTTGTAACGTGGTATAATGATGGTTTTTGAAAACTGTGTGGTAAAAGAACAAATGTTTGATGAAAAAAATGAATTGAAGTGAGAGAGAGGGAGTTGGGTTGGTAGGTGTTTGAAACGATTCCTAATGAATGTTGTATTCATTAATTTCACTACCCATTGAGGTATCTGTCTGTTTGTACAGCAAATCATTCGTCTGCTTTTGGTAGCTGCTGC